TCCAGGTATATGCTGATAACCACAAAGAAAAAACAAAACACGAAGTTCCCAAGCGCTTTCGTGTAATTCACATCTTCAGAGAGAGAGAGAGAGAGAGAGAGAGAGAGAGAGAGAGAGAGAGAGAGAGAGACTCTTAAAAAAACGAACACAGACGTAAGTGAAGGCAAATAGAGAACCTTTGTCTTTAAGTATTCAAAGTAGAGTTAAATTCCACACCAGCCAGACAGCCAGACAGACAAAATTAAGAATTCTTTCAGTAACCCCGTCGTAATTTTTTCTCCTCTAGTTTCACAGGAGAAAAAAAAACTCGTTCTTTATCTATAGTTTTTTCACGTTGCCAAAAGTGGAAGGAAGTTGTTTTTGTACTTGCCGTCAAGGGAAGTTTGTTTATAAGACGAGAGAGAGGCTGGAGGAGTTTGTGGGGCGGTGCTGGGGCGGGTCTGGGGCGGTCTGGGGCGGGGCTGGGGGAAGTGCTGCTCCTACTGACATAGTGTTATTGTTGCTAGGGCAAATAATTGTCATCTATACCGAAAAGCTTCTCTCCCAGACACATCTTATGGTTTGGTGCGGTGGGCAAGAAGGCGCAGAGAGGGGGCGGAAATGGACATAGATAGATGGTGATAAGGGAGTGGGAAGGGCAGTAGAGGAAAGGATGGAGGAGGTACGTAAGATAGATGGTGATAAGGAAGATAGAGAGGGGAGTAAAGGAGATGGCATTGAGAGAAAGAGAGAGAATAGAAGATGATATTGAGAGAGAAAGAGTAGAAAAGATGGTACTGAGGGAGAGAGATAGAGACAGAAAAACAGACAGACAGACATAGAAAGACTGACAGAGATAGAAAGAGAAAGAGAGAGAGAAAGATATATAGAGAGAGCAGAAATAAGAGAATGGAGAGGATACGTAATACAAAGATAAATAAAAGGATGTGTGAGAAACGAAAAAAACAAGGAAAACAAGAGAACAGCAGAATATAAGAAGGAATAACATAAATGGAAAAAAATAAATCGGTGAATAAAAAAAAAACAGATAATAAGAATAAGGATGATAGAAAACACAGATAAAAATACAGGGAAAGAGAAAAGAGAAAAAATCTAGTAACGTAGGAGGGAAGAATAGAAGAAATCAAGAATGGATAAAATGAAAACATGGAAAAGAAGAGAAGGAGAAAGTTAAAAAAATGAGAAAAATGAGGGATAAAGAAAGATGATTGTAAATATAGATAATATAAACAGATACATAAAGAATACAATAAAATAAGGAAGAGGAAAATGAATGTATAGGAAATAGGGATAAAACAATTAAAACAATAAAAGAAATGTATGATAAAGTACATAACAGGATGAAGAAGAGAAGACAGAGAAAGAAATAGCTAAAAGAGAGACTGAAAATAATGAATACGAATGAATAAGAAAGACAGATAAACTGAGATAAAAGAAGGAGGGGGAAAACGAGAATAAAGACAAACATCATAAGTAGTGAGAAAAACGTGAAAGGAGTTTAATAAAAATAAGAACTGAGGAGACAGAGATAATAAGACGAAATGTTACTACGAAGAGAAAATAGTAAAAATGAAAGAAGAAAGCACAGAAGAATGAAAACAAGAAAAGAAAAACTAGACAGATATAAAAGCTTGACTGAATTAAAATGACAAAAAAAAACAGAGGAACAAGAGAGAAAAAAGTAAATCATGAAAAAAAAAAAAACGATACCTCGAAGAAAAAACATCTAAAATGTACCGAATAAGAAAAAAAATCACAAATAAAAACAAGACGAAACTTAAACAAAAAAACAAAAACAAAACACGGAATATACATAAAACGATGAGGCAAAAATAAATAAGAATGAAAGAAAAGATGAAAAAAAAAATAGTTAAAGGAGAAAAAACAAATAACCAACACTTACACGATATGTTAAGCAGCCACATCTATGCAAATCTGAATAAAATGTATTTCTCAGCATCTTGCAAGAGGAACGAAGAGAGGGAAGAAGCCAGCCTGAACTCTGCGGACCCAACAATTTGCAGGGACTAGACGAGGAAATGTGCTGATTGCCGTGACGTGTGAGAAGTAAAGGGGACGTGACGGTGATTTGTGTGACGGGAGGGAGGGTGGGGGTGTGGTGTTTGATGAGGACGTATGGGATGGGGTTAATGAAAGGATGTGTTTTGAGGTTAGGTGATGAGGGACGTGTGATTCACCCACAAACATACAACACACACACACACACACACACACACACACACACACACACACACACACACACACACACACACAGTGTATACAGTGTATACACAACATTCATACTTCCCAAGCTCACCTATGCCTCCCCCACCTGGTCTTCCTCCCTAAATGCCACACAACGTAAACACCTAGAAAAAGTGCAAAAGAGGGCATGCAAGATTATTCTCTCCCCTTCCTACTCCACATATCAAGAAGCGCTCAACACACTGACCCTTTCGACTCTCACTGACCATCACCACGGCCTCATCTGCAAATTTGGTAAGAAGCTTCTACACCATCCCCGACACCGGCCCCTACTACCACCTGAGATCCCCTGTCCGAGAATTGCTGTTCGACACCACAACCGCATCCAGCCCATACGTGCACGAACTGATCGCTATAAGAACAGCCCAGTCCCAACCATTGTAAAAATTATCAATAACATGTAATAAATCAGTGTATTCACTCCCAGTAAACACTGCTCCCTACACTGTCACTATGTTGAAATGAACTGTAGTTTGAGCTGATCCCCATCTAAGTTACTATATGTCTTATTTGTGTCACTTATGTCACTTGTATATTATTTGTAATTCGTAACCCATTCCCCAAATATGTAACTGTATATTTTCAGCCTTCTGGCTGCCAAGCTCTTTCAATAAACCGTTAATTATTATTATTATTATTATTATTATTACACACACACTTAAAAAAAACACTAAACATACCCAAAGAACAAGATAAAAAAGACAAAAGAAGAACAAAGAGAATACCGAATAAAGAAGGAAGAGAAAACACCATAAAATAATAAAAGGAGGAATCAAAATAATCCCTCGCCATTACTGGGATTCAAGGGGAAAAATTAACCCAATAACACTCACTAGTACACAATACCTTCTGGGTGGATCACAAATTACGACCACCCATCACCTCTCGAGTGGATAAACATACTTCAAAGTGAGTGAGTGAGTGAGAGTGAGGAGTTTTTTAAGGCGAACCCTCGAGGTGGGAGTGAAAATTTAAAATCCTCTTGATGTTTGAGACTTATAGCAGAGGAGCAATAAGATTTGGTGTACAGTATACCTGCTGAGGGGTTTATATAATTATGGTGGAGAGAGAGAGAGAGAGAGAGAGAGAGAGAGAGAGAGAGAGAGAGAGAGAGAGAGAGAGAGAGAGAGAGAGAGAGTTGTTGTATGTGTGGGGGAACCATAAGGGGAAATAGGTGAGTGGAGTGATGGTATTGCTGGGAACAATTTCATATACAGTTGTAAAGCCTCCGTTCACAGACCTATTTAAGTACAGTACGAGTATGACAACAATGAATATTAAGTAACGTCAAGAAAGAATCGATACACGAGTTACATGACAAGAAAGATTACATGTATGTTATGCTGGGTGTGTCGTTCCTTCCTGCCACCTATTGGTCGCTTTACACCTGTGAGATCCTGGATGACGACCTGTGTGACTTTAGCGAAGAAAGAGCCGTGGTATTATTTACACATAAGCTGAGACAACTACTATATTATATTTGTGGATTTAAAAACAAAAAATAAATGACAGCATACATCGTGAAGGACTAAGAATCATCAGCGTAGCCCTGACCCTGGCCTTGCCCCTGACCCTGGCCTTGCCCCTGACCCTGGTCCTGGCACTGGCCTGGTAAGCACCTCTAATGGCACGGAAAAGAGCGACAAAGCAATATTCCCTAAGGTGCGTGGGACAGGTGTACTCGTGGGAGACCGACCAGACTTGCATTATTAATGCCTTGGCTGTTGTACAAACTGTGAAACGTGCACCACAAACCTGTGCCAGAGTGGCTGAACATGTGTCGGGGTATCGAGTGGTCAGGTAGTAGTAGAAATTATCCAAGACGACCTGAGGTGTCCAGGGTAAAAGGAAAAATTATCAGTCTTCACTGGAAGCGAAAAGGAAATTAATTTCAACAGAGAATTGGTCACGGACATTATGCTTACAAGCTTTAAAACTGTTGTCACCTGTGTTGAGTTATATGGGAAGATCACCTATGGAAAGTAACGGCAGCTTGACAAGTGAAGACGTTCCTTCCATAAGTTATTACCTGCTGAACTTTTATCATAAAAAGGTAAAAAAGGCATCTTGATCAACTCCTCAGACACTGGTGTAGAGATTCCAGGTTGTCACTATAACAGGCGGATCAACCCAATTATTACATCATAATGGAACCCAAGGTTGGTTGACGTCATTCACCTCGCCACACATCTTGGCAGTCCAGTCTGGAATACTTTGCCAGAGCTCATGACATAGTAGACGACTTAAGAAAAAAGCCTTGGATCTTGTTAAGAATAATCCACATTTGTGTGAAACTATTCAAGAGTTAGGAAAGAGAAAGAGTTTACCATCATAGGAAGTGTTATTTGTTTGTGATCTTTACGGTAAACTGATGACCCTGTGAAGACAATCCACCAAGACAATACTATCTCATTTGCCATAATACAGGATGTCCGTAGAGACCTCAACATGACAGACATCTACCAGGCAGCTGTCTGGTTGAATGCAGTTATCAGTCAGTCCATCTCTCTGGATCCTGAGGGACAGGACTGGAATGTTAGGGGTGGAGACCTTTGCATTGATTAGGTGACCCGGCAGTCTCCCCCAGCCCCACACAGCAACACCCCGCAGTCCTTCAATTAACAGCATGCAAAAATACAATAATATACCGCAGTCAGAGGTGGTGCTGCTATAAATAAATAGACTGATTCCCACAAATGCGGTAAGACCTGAAGAAGGTGAACCAAATGACTCAC